GAACACAGATTTGAAATACTTAGTGCCAAGCACAATGCTAGAGACTTTAGATACGTTTCATTTAATCCTCACATCAATATTTTATTCAAGTTAGGTATGATTTACATTTTACAGATGAGGTTACAGAGGTTAAGTGTCTTGGTCCACTTAAGATAAAATAGGCTAGTAGGATTTGAATATATGGAGAGATTATTTTTTAATTTGGGATTATAGCACCACTCCCTGCAAGGACTTGTCAAAGGAGAGAAATTCACTTCGGTGTGCCACCAAAACTGATAGTTTAGTGAAAAGCCAATTCAAGCTCTTGGCTGAAATAAAGAACTCTTCATCCTTTTTAGAGGATATAAACAAACCAAACAACAGTTTGGGTAAAATCACTATCATTAGAAAACTAGTACTATTACTAGCAGCATTACATTTTAACTTTTAGGACAATAAAACATCGTCATCCTCCAGCTGGGGCCAAGGGGTTTGGGACCAAAGGGGTGGGCCTGAACCCAGTGTCCCCACCCTTCTTGTCAAGGTGCTAAACTGGAGGGCGTTCCTTGGGTACTGACTTTCCCAGAAACTCAGAGCCAGAGAGGGCCAGGCACCAGCCCAAGGTCACACAGCCAGGCGCTTCTTCCCTCCTAGACCCCCAAGGACTGGACTTGCAGGGCTGGGAAAGAGGTGGGGTGGGGAAAAGCAATGCCTTGTCAACCCATGCAGGGAGCCCTACTCCCACCCCCAAGATGTATAAAGTTGAGGAACACCCCTGCTCCCACATCCATGCTCACTCAGGGCCCTGCTCCAAGTGCTTGGCACTCACACCAGCCTCCCGCCCTCCATGTCACAGGTATCAGTCTCATTTACAGAGGGGAAAATGTTGGTCAAAAGCCTCCCCAAGCACACACCGCTAGACCACACAGAGGACTTAGATGCAGCTGAGGGTTCTACAGTCTCTGCTGTCCCTTCTCCCACTAGTGCTGCCAGGGACCACACTCTGGAGAGGGAGAAACGAGAGTGAGCTGGGTGCTCACACATGGGGCATGGGGGACTACGAAAGGGTCAGCTAGGAGGAAAGGGCAAGGTCTGATCCTGTATGTACACATCACACAGCCCGTGGAGTCAGGAGACACAGGGCCAGGTCCTAGCTCTGCGGCTGCTCGGCATGTGACCGTGGTTAAGTCGTCTCCCTGGACTCTCCATGTACTCCGCATGCTGTGTGCACCTTCTAGAATTAGTGTGGACACTGGCTGGCCTCATACTTACTGCGTAGGTTGCAGACCCCAAGTGCTTCTGCAAGGGGCTCTGCTTCTCCTCATAAGAGTGGCACAGGCTGGCCACGTGCTCTGGGGGTAGAATGGAGTAGCTCTGGAGGTAGCAGGTGGGAGCTGGGCTTGGGTTCCTGGCCCAGACAGGGAAGGGAACACCACAGGGTCACAGGGCCTGGCCCCCTCTCTAGCAGCCCTTGGCCCACAGGCTGCCCAGCTGCCCACCCACAACCCATACTTTTGGGCAGCCCCAGCTGCTGCAGTTCACTGGACAACCATCCACCATCGACACTGTGTTTGGCCGCACTGGAGAGGATGAAACTCAGCACTGCCACTGTGGCCTTCACATTGCCGTACTCTAAAGGACCCATGGGTGGGACACGGGGTGTCACTGTGGGCCCAGCCACCTCCCAGTTGCCCTCTTAACTTCAGCTCAAAGCCCCAGGCCCCCTGAAGCCACAGGCACTGCTACTGCTACACCAGGAGCTGGCAGAGAACAGGAAGGTGGGACTGTCAATGTCTTTCTTTCCCTCATGCTTCTCCACTAGGGAAGGCAGGTTAAGGATGCTGCTGGGAGGGGTGGTGGGGCCCCTCTGTACCAGGCACCAGGTCGAGGTCCCAAAGTTGCCTGGGGCCTGTGGACTCAGCGGGGTACTCACCAAACTTGGCATCAGCCTTGAGCTTCAGGATGTTTTCATACCATGGGGAAAGGTGACCTTAAGAGGGTGCCATGCCCCTGTTCACCAGCCCCTCATCCACAGCCTGTGTCCTGCGATAAGGCACAGACAGGCTGGAAAGAAGTATGGGAGGTGCCCAGAGAGGTTGACAGACTGGGTTACCCATCTCCCTGGGCCTAGTGCAGAGTTTCAGGGCACTGGGGGTCATAAGGTCATGGGACAATGGGGTGCTGGGTGTTGTAGTCACATCAATCCCCCGTCCCAGCAGCTCTTTAGTACCTGGCTGCAGAGCAGCCACAACTTCACAGAGGACTGGAAGGGAAGTCCTTAAATCAGCCAGGCTGGCAAACCTCACGCCTCCTTCCTGGGGACTGGCTCAGAGCAGGCCAGCCGCTGATCAAGGTCACAAAGCATGGTAGCACAGGCTGAGAGCACTGAGGCCCTAACCCCAGAAACCTCACCATCCTCTACACCCACAATCCCCAGCCCAGCGCCCCTCCTCCACCCAGAGTAGACCCTGTGCACTCAACCATCTTAGCCAGCTGCTGATCTCTGCCAGGACCCAGTCGCGACGGTCCAGATCACCACAGAACCGGAACCTCTGCAAGGGAGGGAGGCAGGTAATCAGGCTGGAGGGAGGGCTGAGGTGTGGCCGGGATCCGTGTGTCTCCCACACTGCTGCCCAGCAGGGACCCTGGTCCCCATCATAGGTGGATACCCTCTATCCTCTTGTTCTCCCCTATCACCAGGCTGTTGAGTGAACTCACTCCTGACCCACCCTGCCACCAAACCCTGCTCTGAGGTCTACTCCAGGCATTCCTCTGCTCAGCAAACATCAATTGAGTGCCTTCTCTGTGCTAGCTCCCACTCTAAGTGCTGGGGTACAGCAGGGGACAAAACAAAGTCCCGGGCCTCACAGAGACGAGTGACCTCTCTCCCCTCTTCCCCATACCCACACAAGTCCAGCCACTCTGGCTTCCCTGCTGCTGCTCAGGGACACCGGCCTTGCTCCCTTCTCCATGCCTGCTGCACTCTCTACATGTCTTGTTATCCTTTATTTCATTCCACTCTCTGCTCAAGTGACACTTTATAAGACCAGTCCGCCCCCGCCCCCGGTATTTTTGTTTTGTTTAAAGACAGAGTCTCGCTCTATTGCCCAGGCTGGAGTGCAATGGTGAAATCTTGACTCACTGCAACTTCTGCCTCCCAGGTGCAAGCAATTCTCCTGCCTCAGCCTCCCAAGTAGCTGGGACTACAGGCATGTGCCATCACGCCTGGCTTTTTTTTTTTTTTTTTTTTTTTTTTTTTTTAATAGAGACATGATTTCACCACTTTGGCCATCCTGGTCTCAACCTCCTGACCTCAGGTCATCTGCACACCTCAGCCTCCCAAAGTGCTAGGATTACAGGCGTGAGCCATTGCACCCTGGCAGGCTGGCCCTTCTTGACCATACTTCCTAAAATAGCCCCTCACATAAGGAAATTTTGGGGGCCGGTGGATGTGTTCATTAACTTGACTGTGGTAATCCAAAAGCCAGGAAGATTTGTTCTCTACTTGTCCAGCCTCATCTTTCTCTAACCTCCAGATGATACTCTCCCAGCTATGGGAAATGCATTCACTCCTGGGGAGCCATGCTCTCTCTCACCTGAATTCTCTGCACATGCAGTTTCCTGTCTGAAGACACACACCTCCCACCCTTGCCTCCCAACCCCTGGTACACAAACTGTACTTCAGCCAGCCAGCTCCTACCATCCGCCTTTAAGGTTGATGGCATCCTCAGGAAACCCTCTTAGCACTACACACTAGGCGCAGTTAGGTCTCTGCCCCTGGAACCTTTACTGTGACTGCCGATTCAAGCCTCCGATTTCCCTTTCCATCGCAGCTCAAGTCCTCCCAGTTCCTAGCACACTTCATGGTATAGACTAGGCGCTTAGAACATACGGATGGATGGATGGATGCATAAGTCTCAAGCCCAAAACTACTACTTTCTGGGTCTGGAAGGAGAGGAAGGGCTTCCTAACATCCATCCGTAGGTTCTAAGCGCCTAGTCTATACCATGAAGTGTGCTAGGCACTGGGAGGACTTGAGCTTCCAGGGAAGGGGAAATCGGAGGCTTGAATTGGCAGTCATAGTTAAGGTTCCAGGGGCAGAGACCTAACTGCGCCTTGTGTGTGGTGCGAAGGGGGCTGATTCTAAGCACGTTCTTGTACAAGCCCCATAGCAGGGCTGGGGAAGAGGCTGTCCTTGGGAGGTCCTCTTGGGGCTGGGACCTGAAAGGACTCCTAGCTCCAGACGAGCCCCACTTCCTGCCCTGGGAGGCAGGGGCCCTTCCTTCGGCCAGGGCACTAAGGCACGGGGACTCTGAGCTGGCCCGCTCTGTCTTTCCCGTCCCCTACCCCCGCACCCCGTCTCAGGAGCCGGGTGGCGGCGGACTTTTCTCTACCAGACCCACAGCCCTCACGCCCGCACACACTATGTTTGCGGAGAGGCCAGTGCAGACAACCTCCACCCTTTTCCGGAGCCGCTGGCGCCCCCTCATTCCCGCTCCAGCATCCCATGCCTCGCTTCACCCCTGGTGCCTCATCATCGCGCCAGGAAGCCAGGGCCCGGGAATTTCTTTTCCTGGTGGCGCCCCGGGTCAGCTGAGTCGATTATCACGTGACTGGGACTAACGTCCTCTGGGAGAGAGGGGGCTGCTAGGAGTGAGGCGGTGAGCAGACCGGAGCCCACCGGAAGTGCCCGGGACGAAGTGCTGGCGTCCCCTCCTCCTTCTCCCAGAATCCTTCCCTGGAAAAAAACCAGCGCCAACCGCCCGTTTATCTGACAGTGGAAGTTGTTTGTTTGGTAGGATCCCAGGAGCCAGGGAGATTCAGATCATTGCCATGTTTTCCACAGTAAAGCGAATAGCATTATTCACAGCTGCGGACTGTGGCAAAAGACATTTTTGAAACTATTGAACTGTACTACACATACAGAAAATTGTACCTATTAGAAATATAAAGCTTAATAAGCTTTCATCAACTGTAGACCTCACATAACCAGCACCCAGATAAAGAAATAACCAGATAACTTCTTCAAGTGCATGGGTATTTTATTTCATTTTGATGAATCGTCTAGGTACCTAGCAAAAAGGGCTGTCATAACTAACATGCTCAGGAAAACTCCCTACAGCTGTAACATCAATAGATGCATATCTTAATTTTTGCCAATCTGATGGAGAAAAAAAATCGGTTGCTTAGATTGCAGTGGTAGTCTGCTTACTGGTAACTTTGAGCTAATGGGTAGTCTAGACCAACTATGTTTCTGACATTGACTTGAAGAGGCAAAAACTAAAAGACAAAACAACAACAAAAATATATTACAGAATAGACTAATAACCGAAGAAGAAATTGAATACAGTCGTCCCTTAGTAACCTCAGGATATTGGTTCCAGGACCCAAGAGATACCAAAATTCACAGACGCTCAAGTCCCTGATATAATATGGCAGCAATACTTGGGGCTCCAAGTCCAGCACACAGTCCCAGCAGGGCCAGGCAGGGTGGCCAGGTTGGCACAGGCATCAGGTCCCAACCTCCTTCCCTCTTTGCCAACACTTAGACCAAGGAGTTCATCTTCTCACAGCTGCTGTCCAACCTGTACTCACGTGGGGACAAGAACATGCTGATGGACAAGGTGGCACAGCAGGCACAGTGGTGCAACGAGATGCTGTGCACACACCACGTGCTGAGGGAGGCACCCAGCATCATCGGTGACATCAACACGAACACCATCAGCATGCCCATGGGGGTCCATGGATGACTCCTGGCTGCAGGTGCAGAGTGTCCCAGCCGGACGCAGGTACCAGGGCTGGCCCCCACAGCCCCAAAGCCCCCCAGACTCCATGGATGAGCCTGTGAGCTCTTGGAAAAGGCTCCATACCCAAGGTGGCAGACGTGGGTGCTCTCTGAAGCTGTCACAGAGGGCAGAGAGCTCGTGGTTTATGGTATAGGGGCTGGGAACTTGGAGGGCATTGTGTGTGGGGCTGGACTCTGAGGTGGCCAGAGGCCCAGGAACGTCATCCTGGGCACAATGTACCTGTCATGCAGTCTGAGCCATGCTGCCAGGGCAGGGTATCCAGCTCCCAGCCTGGGAGTGCCGAGAGCCGAATCCACTGCAGAGCAGTGGTGATAGTCAGGGTCCCACCTCCTCTATCTGTTGGCAATCCAGTGGCGATCTAGGATAAAATATTGAGAGTCCCATACACATGGTGATCCCACAACACACCTCACAGGCCAGGCAGGAACACACAGCCCCCTTCCCTCCCTCCCAGGTACCATCATAGCTGCTAACGTGTGACTGAAGGCAGGGTCTCTGGCCCCCGCTGAAGCACTCCTGCCAGCCAGCGGGCTCCTGCACCTTGGCCTGTTGCTCCTAGGGGTTGCCTGTGCTATTCAGCCAAGGGGATCACAGTGCCCGCCTGCCCAGCTGAGCTCCACCTAGCGAGCCCACCAGCCTCCCCTGCCACGGACTCTCCCTCTTCTGATTTCCCAGCAGGAAGGACCCAGCCTCACCTATGGGACCTGTAGCCCCCCTCAAGCAGCTGATGCTCCCCTCTTAGACTTACAAGTCTATGGCTAGTGGCATACGCCCTCCCTGTCTTACCCAGGGTCTGGGTCTTTCTGACCACCCAGAGAGGCCTCTGGCACTCACTCCAGTCATCCATCCCTTTTAGTTTCACCATCCTGGGTCAAGCAGTGTTCCTTCTCTATCAGGCCTGGTGGCTGTTGGGTGGGTCTCCCCAAGGTGAGAAGTGGCCCTGGGCCAGTGGGTTGGAAGAGAGGGTGACCAGAGAAGGGGGAACCCCGAGGGAGCTGGGCATTGGTCTGAACTGAGGCCCACCTCCTGGGTACTGTGGGTCAGGCCAGTGTGTGTGGGCTGGGGAGGGCCGCCGCAGTCCCCAGGCACTACCTGTGAAGCTCCGGCTCCTCCCTCCATCTTCCTCCCCTTTTCCTTCCAGCCCCTCTTTTCCAGGAACCTTGCCACACCTGCACCTGCACACTCCCCTCCGCGGCCCTCCCACAGCTGCCGCAGCACGCCCGTGCTCTGTGCTTGCCTCACCAGCTCTCTGCTCACTTTTCTCTCTCCTGTTTTCTTTCTGCTTCTCTCCAACTGCCAGCTGATCGGGTCAGGAAGTTCATCCGGACCTGAGAGCCCCAGGCCCACTTCGACCTCTAAACAGATCCACCTCTTCTCGGAGGCCTCCCTTTCCAAGCCTGCCTGGGCGAGTGTCCTGTGACTTGACAGTGGCTCCCCAACCCCAAAGCCAGCCCCCTTCATCTGTGACTTAGTCTGTTGTAGTGCTGAGCTGACACATCCAGGTGTGACTGTTGCTGAAAACTTGTGCCCCTCTGTGGTATGCCCTGCCCTGTTCTATAAATATCCATAAATACTCTGTGGTATGCCCTGCCCTGTTCTATAAATATCCATAAATACTCTGTGGTATGCCCTGCCCTGTTCTATAAATATCTATAAATACTCTGTGGTATGCCCTGCCCTGTTCTATAAATATCCATAAATACTCTGTGGTATGCCCTGCCCTGTTCTATAAATACCTATAAATACTCTGTGGCATGCCCTGCCCTGTTCTATAAATATCCATAAATACTCTGTGGTATGCCCTGCCCTGTTCTATACATACCTATAAATACTCTGTGGTATGCCCTGCCCTGTTCTATAAATATCCATAAATACTCTGTGGTATGCCCTGCCCTGTTCTATACATACCTATAAATACTCTGTGGTATGCCCTGCAATGTTCTATAAATACCTATAAATACTCTGTGGTATGCCCTGCCCTGTTCTATAAATACCTATAAATACTCTGTGGTATGCCCTGCCCTGTTCTATAAATATCTATAAATACTCTGTGGTATGCCCTGCCCTGTTCTATAAATATCTATAAATACTCTGTGGTATGCCCTGCCCTGTTCTATAAATATCTATAAATACTCTGTGGTATGCCCTGCCCTGTTCTATAAATATCTATAAATACTCTGTGGTATGCCCTGCCCTGTTCTATAAATATCCATAAATACTCTGTGGTATGCCCTGCCCTGTTCTATACATACCTATAAATACTCTGTGGTATGCCCTGCAATGTTCTATAAATACCTATAAATACTCTGTGGTATGCCCTGCCCTGTTCTATAAATACCTATAAATACTCTGTGGTATGCCCTGCCCTGTTCTATAAATATCTATAAATACTCTGTGGTATGCCCTGCCCTGTTCTATAAATATCTATAAATACTCTGTGGTATGCCCTGCCCTGTTCTATAAATATCTATAAATACTCTGTGGTATGCCCTGCCCTGTTCTATAAATATCTATAAATACTCTGTGGTACGCCCTGCCCTGTTCTATACATACCTATACTCTGTGGTATGCCCTGCCCTGTTCTATAAATATCTTTAAATACTCGGTGGTATGCCCTGCCCTGTTCTATAAATATCTATAAATACTCTGTGGTATGCCCTGCCCTGTTCTATAAATATCTATAAATACTCTGTGGTACGCCCTGCCCTGTTCTATAAATATCTATAAATACTCTGTGGTACGCCCTGCCCTGTTCTATAAATATCTACAAATACTCTGTGGTACGCCCTGCCCTGTTCTATAAATATCTATAAATACTCTGTGGTACGCCCTGCCCTGTTCTATAAATATCTACATATACTCTGTGGTACGCCCTGCCCTGTTCTATAAATATCTATAAATACTCTGTGGTATGCCCTGCCCTGTTCTATAAATATCTACAAATACTCTGTGGCATGCCCTGCCCTGTTCTATAAATATCTACAAATACTCGGTGGTATGCCCTGCCCTGTTCTATAAATATCTATAAATACTCTGTGGTATGCCCTGCCCTGTTCTATAAATATCTATAAATACTCTGTGGTATGCCCTGCCCTGTTCTATAAATATCTATAAATACTCTGTGGTATGCCCTGCCCTGTTCTATAAATATCTATAAATACTCTGTGGTATGCCCTGCCCTGTTCTATAAATACCTATAAATACTCTGTGGTATGCCCTGCCCTGTTCTATACATATCTATAAATATATACATATACATATAAACACACACACACACATATATATGTACAACTACACGTGGCTAACCGCCTCACCTCTAGCTTTGGGAATCAGTCACCGTGCTGTCCTTGTGGAGTCTTGTGGCCCAACAAGAGGAAGCTCTCCCCTGACATTGCCCCTCAAACGTGCACCACCTCCAGTGAGCCTCCCTGTCATGCCCGGCCTGCGGACAACCAGCCCCCACCATCCCTCCCACCCTCCAACAAACATGGGGGCACGGCGCAGGCAGCTGTGTGGACTGACAGTCTCTACCAGTCCTGCTGTCCCTCGGCTGAGAATCAAACTCATTTCTGGATGACGGGGAATATGTCCTCTGCTGGCTGTGTTCTCTATGGAGCTCAGGGGAGGGAAAAGGCCAAGCCATTTCTAGGGTGCTGTTGGGAGCAGTGTAAAGGCCACACCCTTTCCAAGGGACACTTTTCCTGGAAAGCCCCTGGAGTTTAGGTGAAGCCAGCTCTGGCCACTAGAGAGCAGGGCCATGAACTCAGCCTGGAGGAGCCTGCGGGGCGGCAAGCACTCTGGAGGGACAGATGGAACAGGTCACCAGGTGCACTGGAGGGACAGACAGAACAGGCCACCCTTTCAGTGAATATTTGCACCCTTTCAGTGAATATAGGCAAATCTGTTATTCCATCTGTAAAATCATATTATTGCTCTCCTGTTAATGTCATATGTATAAAAGTATCATGAGGATGCCAAATGCTAAAAATGGAGATGGTCTAGTAACTAGAAATGCCCACCCCAGGGAGCGCACTTACATCTCTCCCTACATCCTAATAAAGTGATGTATTTTGGAACACAGACATTAGAACTTCATGAAGTTGTAGCTGTTGATTCTTTCCCAAGCATCATAAACTTATGATTTAGGCAATGTATGACTGAAAGAATTCATTCATCATGTATAGACACATTAACATAAATATGGCACAAATTATGCCTCTAACTGAAACCGAGAGGTATAAAAACATATTTCACTCTTCGTAAAGAACTTTGTGAGGAAACATAACTCTGTGATTGTATAGACACTTTTCCTCATAATACTTTCACCTTCACAAACAGTAGACTGCACTGCAGCTTGTAAACATTTTAAATTGCATAAACTTCCCCTTGATTTTCAAATGTAGTATAATACTGTCTACTAAAACTCCTTTTTGTTTCAACTAATATTCTCACATATATTGGTTTATAATAATGGTCATTATTATTATAAAAGTGTTTTTCATTCAAAGAAAAGAAGCAAATTCCTGTGTCAGATTAATCAATGTGGCTGAAGAATAGGTATTAGCCAGAGAGGTCTAGATGGTAAAATCAATCTTCTAGCCTCAAAGAAGCTCCGTGAACACAGAGGAATGCCAGGTGTCACACAGCTTTCCTTCACTCGAATTCATTCTTGACTAGAGCCTGTATGCCTGTTCCAGGGACATTTAAACTCTGAAAGATTTCTTATGATCTTACTAAATACATTAAGAAGAATGCCAACCAGTGCCCTTTTGTGCACTGAGCCATGTCGTCATGTGATTAAAACAGGTAACATGAACTCTGACGTTAAAATGTATTGTGGATGTGAAGGCTCTAAGCTTGAAAAGATTTTCCACATCCACAGTGAATGACGGGAGCCTGTCATTCCTCAGAAATAATCCCTTTTAGGTCACTGAGAAAGAGTCCAACTGCTGCAGCTCATGCTGCGATATCTTCATGAGCCCAGAGCACGTACAAATCCTCAGGGAACTACCATAGAACCGCGCTCATTCCTGGCACCAGAACAAATGAATCACACTCTATCCTGCACACACCTGCCAGAGCAGGCCACTTTCCTCTTCTGTGAGATTTAAAAAGCTCCCCAAAATATTATTCCTCCCATCCCCAATACACAGAAAATAGGGGGAAAGCTGTTTCCAGTTCTCGGCCTTTAAACAACTCTAAATGTCAGTATTCACAGGGGCATATTACAAAGTAAGAAACAGTGCGCACTTGAGGGCAAACCACATATTGAGCTAATGAAGAGCTCACTGTGATTAGGATTCGATCAAACATAATAGCAGATCATAAGCACATTTTATCTGAATTCTGTAAAGAAGATACATGCTGCAATAACATTAAAAAAAGCATGGCAGCCTATTGCAAACCAGCAAGAATAGTTTTGTGCAAATAGTGGGTCTTTTTGTTTGAACTCCCACCACCTGAGGGCAAACTCGATACACATGCTAATAACCTACAATTATCAGATAAAAAAACAAAAATGCTAAAGGATGCCAGAGTGAACATCAGGGAAAGAGCCACTCTCCCTTAACTTTTTATAAATAAATTTAAACTGTAAATTAGAAACACAAATAAACATGAAGGGCTGTGACATTCAAATGAAGTAAATGAATTGTGTAGGGGATTAACCCCATAAATTTTTGTTGTTGTTTTTTTTTTCAATTTCTTGACCAGCTCTCAGATGATGATGATGTTGATCTCCCTGTTCTCCGCTGCCCGGTAAAAGAAAGGGACGCAGGGTTTGCTGGCCAAGCCTGGGTGCTCTTGGGTGTCCTGCATTACAGGAAGCAGCTGCACGATCTTCTCTGCGGTGGGGTTGCCACGGGGAGAACCCTCCCTGGCCTCTCCCGCTGCAGGCTCCACGCTGTCAGCCAGGCTCACCTCACAAAGATCTTCGGAGAGAGGGAGGCGGGGGTCTGAGCACAGTGCGAGCCTCCCCTGCTCCTGCCTGCCCACCCCGCCTGAGGGCTCTACTCACCACCCTGCTCCTCCACAGCCCCAAGCTCCTGGGGGGCTGGGGCCCCTGGAGCAGGCTCCTCAGCAGAGTTCTGTGCAGTGGGGAGGAATTTGTCATGCCCCTCGTGGTGGCCCATGAGCAGTAACACCGGCTCCTGCAGTTCCAACAGCTTCACCTGAAGGGAGGGGTGCTCAGCTGCCATGACTGAGCCGGCACCAGCTCCAACGCCCACCCCACCCCCACAGAGATATTGCATGCCCTCTACCTTCATCTCCTCCTCCTTCTGGGCCAGCCTGATGATGTCCTCTTGGTGCCGTGTGTTTGGCACTGCCCCATG